CTTGATGTCACTTATGGCCAGTGACTTGAAGGACCTGTCTTGATGTCACTTATGGACAGTGACTTGATGTATCAATATTGATGTCACTTATGGACAGTGACTTGATGTACCAATATTGATGTCACTTATGGACAGTGATTTGAAGGAACTGTCTTGATGTCACTTATGGACAGTGACTTGAAGGACCTGTCTTGATGTCACTTCTGGACAGTGACTTGAAGGACCTGTCTTGATGTCACTTATGGACAGTGACTTGATGTATCAATATGGATGTCACTTATGGACAGTGACTTGATGTATCAATATGGATGTCACTTATGGACAGTGACTTGATGTATCAATATGGATGTCACTTATGGACAGTGACTTGATGTATCAATATGGATGTCACTTATGGACAGTGACTTGATGTATCAATATGGATGTCACTTATGGACAGTGACTTGATGTATCAATATTGATGTCATTTATGGACAGTGACTGAAAGAAACAGTATGGTTTATTCTTGGTTGACGTTTTGGTAGTAACTTTTAATAATTTTAGATTATGAAAGAAAATGACCTATATTTATGTACTATAAGTCATTACTACAACACATGTGACATCATCAACAGTAAAAGGACATGTGAGTACTTAGTGAATTTTGATCAGAATCGCTACATGTATTAAAGATTCATTTAGACAGACCACAACTTCATATAACAATGTTGTTCAGAAATATTTATAAAATGTTGATGACAAAATTTCATAGAGTGATTTTTTTTTCACTTTCCATGTTTGTGACACAGCTGTTTAGTGCCAGTATCACATTACATACCTTATATGTCACCTGATCATCAACATATCATCTGCTCACGCGCTCTCTACACTGATACCATCACACCTGGTCATAGAATTCTTCAGTGTACCAGTATTTATTTATTGCCATTTGGTAAAGTTATTTTTAAAGGCTGATTCAATTATTACTTCAAACGTTATTTTAAGAACAGGTATGGCATGATCGTAGACTGTTAAACACATTTAGATGTGTGTCCATATAACAGCAAATGTTGTTGGATTACAACTTCTCCTTTCAGGCCATTTAGCAATTTGTATGAAGATATCATCAGGACAGCTCTTTACCCATATAGTACCATATATATCCTGAATTAAGCCCAGGAGTCTAAGTCAGATAGATGGTATACATTGTATACAGTTTTTTTCAATAAGCACAACATTAGAAGCACTGTTTTTTGGTAATGCTGCAGAATAGAAATAGATATGGGCTCATTACCTGAGGGAGACATGCTTATCACTGAATATGTATATATAACACCGTTAAAGTTTAGTATTACATCCAATAAATAACTTAGTTTATAAAGCTAATTATCTTGTAAGATTAAAGGTCAAATTGATTATTGGTCGTTATCTAAAGGCACAGTAAGGTCCATAGATGATATTACATTGGCCCTAAATTTGATTGTGGTAGAACTTATCAGTCAGCCTTTTTAATGATATTTATTAGCATATCAATTAAACAACACCTTCAGGTATTGGATACACAAATATTCACAGGAAGTCCCACATTAACACATCCTATATGCGTTATGTATTTTAAAGGAAGTTACAGTGGCATCCTCAGAATCATTTGTATTTACAGGAAAACACAATAAACACTCTCTGTTTGTTCTATACTTTACAGGAAGTTGAAGTAGCACCATCTGTATCACAGTAAACATCCTCTGTTTGTTCTATACTTTACAGGAAGTTGAAGTAGCACCATCTGTATCACAGTAAACATTCTCTGTTTGTTCTATACTTTACAGGAAGTTGAAGTAGCACCATCTGTATCACAGTAAACATCCTCTGTTTGTTCTACATTTTACAGGAAGTTGAAGTAGGACCATCTGTATCACAGTAAACATCCTCTGTTTGTTCTACATTTTACAGGAAGTTGGAGTAGAACCATCTGTATCACAATAAACACTCTCTGTTTGTTCTACATTTTACAGGAAGTTGGAGTAGCACCATCTGTATCACAGTAAACATCCTCTGTTTGTTCCATATTTTACAGAAAGTTGAAGTTGCACCATCTGTATCACAGTAAACATCCTCTGTTTGTTCTACATTTTACAGGAAGTTGCAGTAGCACCATCTGTATCGCAGTAAACATCCTCTGTTTGTTCCATATTTTACAGGAAGTTGAAGTAGCACCATCTGTATCACATGTTTGTCAGTCTTGGCCGAAGGGTGTTATAATTTTGTGTTTACTGAAGCATGGCAAGTGATGACAAACTCAGTGATATAAAATTCAGTTATATTTATAAGGTCAGCAATTGGTTTAATATGTTAAATACAACTAAAACAAGACACTCATGCTGTCTCATACATCATGCACATTATTCCAACTTAATGGCTACAAGGCCTGACTCCTATCAAGGATATAGATGATAGACAAGTAAAATTGATCCTACATGACTGAATACTTATATGTCCTATGTTTGGGTTTTTTTTCAGAATGTCACACATTAACACTGCCTCTATGTGTTATGTATTTTACAAAATTGCAGTAGATACTCTCTGTTTGTTCTGTATTTTACAGGAAGTCACTGTTACACCCTCTGTATGTTCTGTATTTTACAGGAAGTCACAGTTATACCCTCTGTATGTTCTGTATTTTACAGGAAGTCACTGTTACACCCTCTGTATGTTCTGTATTTTACAGGAAGTCACAGTTACACCCTCTGTTTGTTCTGTATTTTACAGGAAGTCACAGTTATACCCTCTGTATGTTCTGTATTTTACAGGAAGTCACTGTTACACCCTCTGTATGTTCTGTATTTTACAGGAAGTCACAGTTACACCCTCTGTTTGTTCTGTATTTTACAGGAAGTCACAGTTACACCCTCTGTATGTTCTCTGTTTTAGAGGAAGTCACAGTTATACCGTCTGTATGTTCTCTGTTTTACAGGAAGTCACTGTTATACCCTCTGTATGTTCTCTGTTTTACAGGAAGTCACAGTTATACCATCTGTATGTTCTCTGTTTTACAGGAAGTCACAGTTATACCCTCTGTATGTTCTCTGTTTTACAGGAAGTCACAGTTATACCCTCTGTATGTTCTCTGTTTTACAGGAAGTCACAGTTACACCCTCTGTATGTTCTCTGTTTTACAGGAAGTCACTGTTACACCCTCTGTATGTTCACTGTTTTACAGGAAGTCACAGTTATATCCTCTGTATGTTCTCTTTTTAACAGGAAGTCACTGTTACACCCTCTGTATGTTCTCTGTTTTACAGGAAGTCACAGTTATACCATCTGTATGTTCTCTGTTTTACAAGAAGTCACAGTTATACCATCTGTATGTTCTCTGTTTTACAGGAAGTCACAGTTATATCCTCTGTATGTTCTCTGTTTAACAGGAAGTCACTGTTACACCCTCTGTATGTTCTCTGTTTTACAGGAAGTCACAGTTATACCCTCTGTATGTTCTCTGTTTTACAGAAAGTCACAGTTATACCATCTGTATGTTCTCTGTTTTACAGGAAGTCACAGTTATATCCTCTGTATGTTCTCTGTTTAACAGGAAGTCACTGTTACACCCTCTGTATGTTCTCTGTTTTACAGGAAGTCACTGTTACACCCTCTGTATGTTCTCTGTTTTACAGGAAGTCACAGTTATACCCTCTGTATGTTCTCTGTTTAACAGGAAGTCACTGTTACACCCTCTGTATGTTCTCTGTTTTACAGGAAGTCACTGTTACACCCTCTGTATGTTCTCTGTTTTACAGGAAGTCACAGTTATATCCTCTGTATGTTCTCTGTTTTACAGAAAGTCATAGTTATATCCTCTGTATGTTCTCTGTTTTACAGAAAGTCACTGTTACACCCTCTGTATGTTCTCTGTTTTACAGGAAGTCACAGTTACACCCTCTGTATGTTCTCTGTTTTACAGAAAGTCACTGTTACACCCTCTGTATGTTCTCTGTTTTACAGGAAGTCACTGTTATATCCTCTGTATGTTCTCTGTTTTACAGAAAGTCACAGTTATATCCTCTGTATGTTCTGTATTTTACAGGAAGTCACAGTTATACCCTCTGTATGTTCTCTGTTTTACAGGAAGTCACTGTTACACCCTCTGTATGTTCTCTGTTTTACAGGAAGTCACAGTTATATCCTCTGTATGTTCTCTGTTTTACAGAAAGTCACTGTTACACCCTCTGTATGTTCTCTGTTTTACAGGAAGTCACAGTTATATCCTCTGTATGTTCTCTGTTTTACAGGAAGTCACAGTTATATCCTCTGTATGTTCTCTGTTTTACAGAAAGTCACTGTTACACCCTCTGTATGTTCTCTGTTTTACAGGAAGTCACAGTTATATCCTCTGTATGTTCTCTGTTTTACAGGAAGTCACAGTTATATCCTCTGTATGTTCTCTGTTTTACAGGAAGTCACAGTTATATCCTCTGTATGTTCTCTGTTTTACAGAAAGTCACTGTTACACCCTCTGTATGTTCTCTGTTTTACAGGAAGTCACAGTTATATCCTCTGTATGTTCTCTGTTTTACAGGAAGTCACAGTTATATCCTCTGTATGTTCTCTGTTTTACAGGAAGTCACAGTTATATCCTCTGTATGTTCTCTGTTTTACAGAAAGTCACTGTTACACCCTCTGTATGTTCTCTGTTTTACAGGAAGTCACAGTTATATCCTCTGTATGTTCTCTGTTTTACAGGAAGTCACAGTTATATCCTCTGTATGTTCTCTGTTTTACAGGAAGTCACTGTTACACCCTCTGTATGTTCTCTGTTTTACAGGAAGTCACAGTTATATCCTCTGTATGTTCTCTGTTTTACAGAAAGTCACAGTTATACCCTGTGTATGTTCTGTCTTTTTCAGGACATCACAGTTACAACCTCTGTATTTTTTGTATTTTACCGGGAGTTAAAGTTACAACCTCTGTACATTTTGTGTTTTGCAGAAAGTCACATTTACAACCTCTGTATGTTCTGTGTTTTACAGGAAGTTACTAAAAGGCTGTCATTACCTGCTGACATGCGTCTACCTGGACATTTCTTGGCCAGGCAAAGTCTCAGCCCAGAAGGACAACTTAGCAGGCGTTCTCGGCGTAAATCCCTTGTAAGTTGAGTGGATTTTTATACCTTCACTTAGGTTTAGGGGGATATATAATAGTCACTTTGTCTGTGTAAGCATGCAAGTGTGTGTGTGTCTGTGATAACTTTGTGTACAGGGCATCTCATGAACTCCTAAATGGATATGGTTACTATTCACACCATAGTGTCATATCAGCAAGGTCTACACCTGATTAGATTTTGGTGATTATTGGTCAAGGTTAAAAGTAAAAAGTCTCCCTTCTCCATTTTGCAAATAAAGAGGTTGTGTACAAGGTTGGGGGTATATCTCTGAACTCTGATAACTTTGTTTTTAGTCTTCCTTGGCCCAAAGGGTCCAGTGAGCTCAAGGGATACCACATCATCAGTGTATCTGTTGTCTGTCAGCTCTTTTCCTGTAAATTGCTGGTAGTCATGAACAACTTTGGTCTGAAGCATCCATGGGAGTATGGGAAACAATTTTGTATAAACAGTGGGTCTTGGCCCCGTGGGGCAGAAGGGGCAGTGCCCAATGGGAAAATGTATCAATTCTTGTTCTTCAAAAATTGCAGGATATTGTCAGAATTGGTCTGAAGCATGGTTGAGTAAAGGGAAATCAGTTTTGCATAAACAGTGATACTCAGCCTCCTGAGGCAAGGAGGTCAGGGCCAAATTGGGAAAATCTATCAATTTTTTTTAAATCTCTCTTTTTCTTCAGGAGTTACAGGATAAACTGTAAAAACTCATGTACTGTGCACTTTTTTGAGAAAATAAATGTCCAAAGTTGAGGATGCGTGCATTACATAACTATAGGATTTTTAAGTTCATTTGCATGGTAAAATCAAAGATTCTGTAAGGCTGCTATCATTGATTGTCAGGAAGATCTGGTACTCAAAACTGACACAAAAAGGTGTCTTATTTTTTAACAACAATATTAAATAAGATAATTATTGTATATATTAAGGAAAACTATCAATATCATGCAAAATCTGGACAAAGTGTTACAAAATGTGATAGTAGCTAGTAAGACAGAAAACTAACAATCGGCAAAGACAGTGCCCTGTTTGGAACATTGAAAAATATGTTGATTATGATATAATTATCTTTCGAAACACTTACATGTTCAACTGTTCAGAAATTGACAGGTTTAATTTTATTTTCCTTCATGTGGGATATCGCAACAAAGTAGAAGCCATGAGCACATGTCCATTTTCATGTGTATTAGCAGAATTTAGCATTAACTTATTAGTATACAGAGTGTGGATTGAGACTTAGCATCGCACATTGGTCATGTTGATGTTTACACAGCATATCTATAGTCTAATAATAATGGGGCCTCAATTTATGTCAGCTGGCGCTTGCACGATATGATGGCAAGACATGAAGGAAAAGATGACTTACAGAGATCATCATCACCTGTTTTGGTCATGAATAGGTAGATAATGACTTGTATCTGTGATTTCAATACTGAACACTGTTTATTAGGGCTAGTGTGAAGACAAGTGTTGTGTTTGTGAGATGAATAAGGGTTAATTGGATAGGTAAGTGAATGATACAGTGTTATGTGTCTTATGTCAAAGAAAACAAACAAGGAGATGCACAAATATATAGCAGTTTTCTTTTCTTCAATTGTATAGTACTTTTAAGTAAACAAAAGTCAGTAAATGAGATGAAAGCAAATTTTGAAGAGAATACTTTCTAGTTTGGATTTTAAATCTGTGATCTGACATGCTAGCTAATTTCTTGACTTCCAGAGATTGATTTGGACTGAATATTTCGTGTGTCCATATTTTGTGATTAGAAGCATTTTTCACTAATTTTACCCCAAAAAAGGTACCATCTCACATTATGTAGGTGTGTACATACGCAGGTTTTTAAAGTAGACAGAATTTGGTCTGAAGTATGCTTGGGTGGGGGAAAATCAACTGTGTATAAACATTATCAGCCCGCTCCAGCAGGAGAGTTGGAGCCCAGTAGGGAGATTAGGACAAATTCCTTAAAATCATTCTTCTTATGTTGGAATGCTTCCATTCTGTCCCAATTTGGTCTGGAACATGCTAGGGTAAAGGGTTTCAGCCTTGGGAAGAGGAGGGGCAAGAGCCCAATAGTTGAAATAGAGCAAGTTTTTTAAGATCCTTCTTAAATCCTTGTTGGAATGATCAATTTTGTTGAGATTTGATGTGAAGCATTCTTGGTGAAGAGATATGGTTTTGTACAGTGGATCATGCCTCCTTTGAGAGGAGGGGCAGGGCTTTATAAATGCAAGTGTTTTAAATACTTTTCCTTAAGTTTCAATTAATCAATGTTAGCATTAACTCAGATGAGCAATATAGGCCTTATGGAACTATTGGTGTTTTGTTTTCTTTGAAAAATATTCAGATAGTGATCTTGAAATGATTTCCTGAAACAAGTAAATATTTTACTTTGGTATTTGTGTATTTTACATGTTCTATATACACTGTCCTGAATATTTGAATGCATCATCAAACAGCTGTTCTTTTCCATGATAAAAACATGACAATTATTTACACATATTTCTGTTTGTTTTTTGTTTCAGTCTGAAATAGGTTTTGGAAAAATAGAATCTTACACCAAATTAGATAAACTTGGAGAGGTATGTATAAAAAATACATTGCTTTACTTTGATTATACAAGATATGATCTGTGCGATAAAGAAAATCTACAAAAATGCACAGTGCAGTTATTTGGAGTGCATGGTATTCATTGGGGCTGTTTTCATAGGTTGAAACTTTGTGATATTTGAGCTATATTTCAGTTTGGAGATTCCTGTTTTGGAATGTCCAGTTCCAGAATAAAGCAAAGAATAAAGAAATCCATCCTTTGTTGGAAGTTTATATTTACACAATCTATTTATCAGTCGATGTTTAGAATATTTGTAGAAAATATTGTTTCTGCTTACTAGGGTACCTATGCCACAGTGTTCAAAGGCAGAAGTCTGCTGACTGATAACCTGGTTGCTCTAAAGGAAATCCGTCTGGAACATGAGGAAGGGGCCCCTTGTACTGCTATACGTGAAGGTAAGTTATCTCCCTTTGTTCCTGTTGTGCTGTTAATGTTACATACTTACAAAGACATTTCTTAAGTTAAAATGTCACCCATCTCATTTATTGCTTTCTTATGGATGACCTAAAAGAATCTCCTTAAATTTTAGTAAAAAAATTCTGTTAGATTTTTATATATTTTTCATGTTTGATGTTCCCTTTGTTTCAGTGTCGCTACTCAGGGAGCTTAAACACAGTAATATTGTGACCCTACATGACATCATCCACACAGAAAAGTCTCTTACTCTAGTCTTTGAATATCTGGTATGTATACCGATGCAACGTCTTTTTATGCCTATAATGACTTAAGCATACATAAAGTATTTAAACTATTCATTTGATCTTTAACAACACTATCATAAGAGTTCATGTTTAGGTCTTTTTCTCCATCATTAATGCTATGAACCAACTATCTACTACTTAAAAAAAAGGTCCCTGGTTGAAATTGGGGAAAAAATCATCGACATATCAGCTGAATATTACTATATTTCATTCAAATCACATTGAGGTCCTCAGACATAGCTGCCAAATTGTATATATACTGAAGAGGATTATGCAATATGTCTGCCAAAAATCAAACCCTTAAATATGGGGCTCTCAACTTTGTAACATTGAAGTTAAAATTGTTCTGAACAGATATGAGGATAGGCTTATACTTTCCGGACCTGGGCTTATTGTAAGTTAACTGCTGTTCTAATATTCATTTTGGTCTTTCAGGAAAAAGATCTCAAACAATACATGGACGACTGTGGAAACATTATGAGCATGACAAATGTTAAGGTTTGTACAATGTATGTGCGTATTTGTGTTTTATAGGCTGTCCTTTGACGAGGTTTGTATAGTGTATGTGCGTATTTGTGTTCTGTAGGCTGTCCTTTGATGAGTTGTGTACAGTGTCTGTGGGTATTTGTGTTTTATAGGCTGTCCTTTGATGAGGTTTGTACAGTGTATGTGGGTATTTGTGTTTTATAGGCTGTCCTTTGATGAGGTTTGTACAGTGTATGTGGGTATTTGTGTTTTATAGGCTGTCCTTTGATGAGGTGTGTACAGTGTATGTGGGTATTTGTGTTTTATAGGCTGTCCTTTGATGAGTTGTGTACAGTGTATGTGGGTATTTGTGTTTTATAGGCTGTCCTTTGATGAGGTGTGTACAGTGTATGTGGGTATTTGTGTTCTGTAGGCTGTCCTTTGATGAGGTGTGTACAGTGTATGTGGGTATTTGTGTTCTGTAGGCTGTCCTTTGATGAGGTGTGTACAGTGTATGTGGGTATTTGTGTTTTATAGGCTGTCCTTTGATGAGGTTTGTATAGTGTATGTGGGTATTTGTGTTTTATAGGCTGTCCTTTGATGAGGTGTGTACAGTGTATGTGGGTATTTGTGTTCTGTAGGCTGTCCTTTGATGAGGTGTGTACAGTGTATGTGGGTATTTGTGTTCTGTAGGCTGTCCTTTGATGAGGTGTGTACAGTGTATGTGGGTATTTGTGTTCTGTAGGCTGTCCTTTGATGAGGTTTGTACAGTGTATGTGGGTATTTGTGTTCTGTAGGCTGTCCTTTGATGAGGTGTGTACAGTGTATGTGGGTATTTGTGTTTTATAGGCTGTCCTTTGATGAGGTGTGTACAGTGTTTGTGGGTATTTGTGTTTTATAGGCTGTCCTTTGATGAGGTGTGTACAGTGTATGTGGGTATTTGTGTTTTATAGGCTGTCCTTTGATGAGGTGTGTACAGTGTATGTGGGTATTTGTGTTCTGTAGGCTGTCCTTTGATGAGGTGTGTACAGTGTATGTGGGTATTTGTGTTTTATAGGCTGTCCTTTGATGAGGTTTGTATAGTGTATGTGGGTATTTGTGTTCTGTAGGCTGTCCTTTGATGAGGTGTGTACAGTGTATGTGGGTATTTGTGTTTTATAGGCTGTCCTTTGATGAGGTGTGTACAGTGTATGTGGGTATTTGTGTTTTATAGGCTGTCCTTTGATGAGGTGTGTACAGTGTATGTGGGTATTTGTGTTCTGTAGGCTGTCCTTTGATGAGGTGTGTACAGTGTATGTGGGTATTTGTGTTCTGTAGGCTGTCCTTTGATGAGGTTTGTACAGTGTATGTGGGTATTTGTGTTCTGTAGGCTGTCCTTTGATGAGGTGTGTACAGTGTATGTGGGTATTTGTGTTTTATAGGCTGTCCTTTGATGAGGTGTGTACAGTGTTTGTGGGTATTTGTGTTTTATAGGCTGTCCTTTGATGAGGTTTGTATAGTGTATGTGGGTATTTGTGTTTTATAGGCTGTCCTTTGACGAGGTTTGTATAGTGTATGTGGGTATTTGTGTTCTGTAGGCTGTCCTTTGATGAGGTGTGTACAGTGTATGTGGGTATTTGTGTTTTATAGGCTGTCCTTTGATGAGGTTTGTATAGTGTATGTGGGTATTTGTGTTTTATAGGCTGTCCTTTGATGAGGTGTGTACAGTGTATGTGGGTATTTGTGTTCTGTAGGCTGTCCTTTGATGAGGTGTGTACAGTGTATGTGGGTATTTGTGTTCTGTAGGCTGTCCTTTGATGAGGTGTGTACAGTGTATGTGGGTATTTGTGTTTTATAGGCTGTCCTTTGATGAGGTGTGTACAGTGTATGTGGGTATTTGTGTTCTGTAGGCTGTTCTTTGATGAGGTTTGTATAGTGTATGTGGGTATTTGTGTTTTATAGGCTGTCCTTTGATGAGGTGTGTACAGTGTATGTGGGTATTTGTGTTCTGTAGGCTGTCCTTTGATGAGGTGTGTACAGTGTATGTGGGTATTTGTGTTCTCTAGGCTGTCCTTTGATGAGGTGTGTACAGTGTATGTGGGTATTTGTGTTCTCTAGGCTGTCCTTTGATGAGGTGTGTACAGTGTATGTGGGTATTTGTGTTTTATAGGCTGTCCTTTGATGAGGTTTGTATAGTGTATGTGGGTATTTGTGTTCTGTAGGCTGTCCTTTGATGAGGTGTGTACAGTGTATGTGGGTATTTGTGTTCTGTAGGCTGTCCTTTGATGAGGTTTGTACAGTGTATGTGGGTATTTGTGTTCTGTAGGCTGTCCTTTGATGAGGTGTGTACAGTGTATGTGGGTATTTGTGTTTTATAGGCTGTCCTTTGATGAGGTGTGTACAGTGTATGTGGGTATTTGTGTTCTCTAGGCTGTCCTTTGATGAGGTTTGTATAGTGTATGTGGGTATTTGTGTTCTGTAGGCTGTCCTTTGATGAGGTGTGTACAGTGTATGTGGGTATTTGTGTTCTGTAGGCTGTCCTTTGATGAGGTTTGTACAGTGTATGTGGGTATTTGTGTTCTGTAGGCTGTTCTTTGATGAGGTTTGTATAGTGTATGTGGGTATTTGTATTTTATAGACTGTCCTTTGATTAAGTTTGTACAGTGTTTGTGGGATAATCAGTTTTGTATATAAGGTGTGTCTCAGCCCCCTGGTGCAGGAGGGGTAAACCCAACAGGGGAATTTCTTTTATGTAAGAATGATTGGATTTTGCCCAAGTCTGGTATGAGGCATTGTTTGGAGAATGTGAATCAAATTTGTATAAACAATGGGTCATTGGACAGGAAGGGCGGGGGAAATTGAGCAACTTCTTTAAAATTCTATTCCACCTGTAGGAATGATTGGATTTCGCCCAGATATGGTCTCAAGCATTGTTCAGGGAAGGGGAATCAATTCTGTTTTAACTACGTGTCTCGACCTCCTTGGACAGTAGGGACTGGTCCCATTAGGGGAAAGAAAGCAAAATCTTTCAAATCCTACCCCTCCAGTAGGAGTGATTGGATCATGCCCACATTTGATCTGAAGAATCCTTTGGGGAAGGGGAACCAAGTTTGGATAGAAATTATAATCAAGGGGCCAAAGGAGCAGGGCTCAAAAAGGATAATTTTACAAGTTCAGTAAAATCCTACTCTTCTTTTAGTTATGATGGGATTTTGCCAACATTTGGTGTGAAGAATTCTTTGGTGAAGAGAAAACAATTTTGTTTAAGCTGTGGGTCTCAGCTGCCTTTGGATGGAGGTCAGGGAGGGAGAATTGGGGCCCAAGAAGGGAAATAGAGCAAATCCTTTAAAATCCTTCATCCTTAAGAATTCCTTGATTCTGTCCTGATTTGGACTGAAACTTACCTAGTTGAAAGGAAATAGAATCTAATTTTGTATTAACCAGGAGTCTGACATCAGTGATGTGGGGCCCAATATGGGAAATGCAAGATCTTTAAATCCTTCTTCAGTACAAGGATGTTGTACAAGGATATTGTCTAAGTTTGGTCTGAAACAATTTTTATGCATGGTGAATCTGACTTCTCTCTGACTAGAAAGAGAGAGCCCTATAGTGAAATTACTTCAGAATTTTCTTATCATATTTTTAATTCTTTTGTAAAATAACTGAATAACTGAATTAGCTTGTTGAATAATACAGGCCCCATGGGCATCTTGTTCTAACACAGAATGTGCAGTAATTGTCACAAAGTCAGCCGATATAATATTTGGTCTTTGATTGATTACACATATTACTGTTGCTAATTTAATAAACTTCTCACAAATGTTTGTAAACTCTTGGCCAATTTAGTTTTACACTGATCATGATGAAAGCCATGAAATGATAAGACATTCGATGTCCTGTTACATCCTGATTACAGAATTTTAATTGTTAAAATGTTATTTGATGATTTTGAACGAAAATCAAAAAATTTTACCTGGTGATGTCATATATTTAAATTTTGACGATTGTATTTTGTAGGAGGGTTGGAGGGGGGGGGGGGTTTGTTGGGGTTGAGATGTGTTGGTTGGTGGATGTGTCACTATATATCAGCTTTGTACCAAAACATCCCATAACTGTTCAATAATATAATAGTGATCATTCTTTATTTTTCTCTCATTTTTGTATCTATTTCCTCTGGGTATTGACCCATTATATGAGTTACAATATTTAAAAATGAAGATAAGGTAAAACAAGTCAGCACAGTTGAATCAATAACCTGTAAAATGATTTCTTTCTGTAGATAATGTGTAACGCTTGACAATTATATACTCACTGCCATTTAAGGTTTACTTTTCATATTAATTTTTTTCCAGATATTTCTGTTCCAATTATTACGAGGCTTAGCCTACTGTCATAAAAGGCAAGTTTTACACCGGGACCTGAAACCTCAAAATCTTCTTATCAATGAAAGAGGAGAACTTAAATTGGCTGACTTTGGTAAGTCATTTTAGAGTACTGACTTAATATCATGTTCTATTTGTCCAGGAGAAAAATGTAATAAAAAGCCAAAAATGATATTAACAGTTGACATGTTTATTTCGGATGTCTAAACGTGGAAGTTAACTTTCTGATGTGCCAAACTGACTTGTTTCTTACAGTAATTACTTGAAGACCAAAATTTGAAATCTCTTTCGTTTTTCCCATATGCATAGTGATTTGCTTTCAGTTTTGTTTGTTTGAAATATCTAACCTCTATCTGAAATTATTGTGAACGATCATGTCATATTCACAGTGTACACATGGTCAAATTCAGTGTCATCAGCTGATGTTTTGCCGCATATTTCATTTATACATATTCTGGTAGACTTCATAATAGAGTATCATCGCAAAGATCGCAAACATATAGAACAGTTTCAGGTAACATATAGAACAGTTACAGGTAACATTTAGAACAGTTACAGGTAACATATAGAACAGTTACAGGTAACATATAGAACAGTTACAGGTAACATATAGAACAGTTACAGGTAACATATAGAACAGTTACAGGTAACATTTAGAACAGTTACAGGTAACATGTAGGATAGATACAGGTAACATATAGAACAGTTACAGGTAACATATAGAACAGTTACAGGTAACATATAGAACAGTTACAGGTAACATATGGAACAGTTACAGGTAACATATAGAACAGTTACAGGTAACATATGGAACAGTTACAGGTAACATATAGAACAGTTACAGGTAACATATAGAACAGTTACAGGTAACATTTAGAACAGTTACAAGTAACATATACAACAGTTACAAGTAACATATAGAACAGTTACAGGTAACATATGGAACAGTTACAGGTAACATATGGAACAGTTACAGGTAACATATGGAACAGTTACAGGTAACATATAGAACAATTAGAGGTAACATAGGGAACAGTTACAGGTAACATTTAGAACAGTTACAGGTAACATAAGGAACAGTTTTCTTTGATCCCTCATTTTTAATACTTGGTATTTTTTCAGGCTTAGCTAGGGCCAAATCAATACCTACCAAGACATATTCAAATGAAGTGGTCACTCTATGGTAAGTCATTCTTTGAATAGTATTCTGTTTACATACAACAATGATCTGTAATGATATAACACCTTACATATCAATACTAAGAAGTATGGATTCTTGTGTATTTTGATAAGTACAACACGACCTGTAGGTACTACAGTGTATGACATAATGGATTATATAAAGGTTATACAAATACATTTCTTAACAGTTCTCATACACTTCAAGCAAATATGAATAACTCTGTATCATGTGTTAATTCAGGGATTCATTTTCAATACTGATCATCACTTTTAAACAAATTTTTACTCTACTCAACAAAAATATTTAGCTATCTGTAAGATTTTATTCCAGTAAAAATCACAAGTCAATAAAAATTAATTAATGTTTTCACTGATAAGAGTAATGGAGCCTTGAGAATCTGATCTTAGCATTTATCATACAGTACCTGAAATGACACTACTGTAGTAAATGTTGTGATGTGACGTGATTTTTTTTGGACAGGTATCGTCCCCCAGATGTTTTACTGGGATCAACAGAATACTCCACCTCCATTGATATGTGGTAAGGATCACATGTAACAGTGTATTTCTTGTATTCACATCAAACAAGAAATAAGTCTGTAAAAGAAATCTTTTCCTGAAATTTAATCTTAACTTTCTATATACCTGCTAAGTTTGTAGTACAGGGAAGTTTGTTATATATTTTATCAGATGGCCTCTGGCAGGCCAGTTTTTGATAGCCTTTTACAAATCTACATTTTTCTTAATACAGGGGTGTTGGTTGTATATTTTATGAGATGGCCTGTGGCAGGCCACTTTTTCCGGGATCTACTGTGGAAGATGAACTACATTATATATTCAAGATACTGGGCACCCCTGTGGAGGAAACGTTCCCAGGAATCAGCAAAAATGAGGACTTCCTGTCTTATAACTTCCCTCGCTATGAGCCAGAGCCCCTTATTAATGTGGCTCCTAGGTAAAACTTTAGGCTATAAAACATGTAGGAATATGGAAATGTACTAGGATAGTACTGTATCTGTAGAAATAAATATCATATGTGCTGAGGTCTTTTGTGTCAGAAGTATTCTGCAGAAGAAATGTTTCATCTAGTATGATTTTAGCTACATTTTGAAAGATCAAATAGTTGATAGTATAAGTGTTCAGGTATATAGCTATTTGTGCTTGACTGTGTTCTGTAGCCAGATACAAAACATGAACATTTAGGAAGGATGTTTATCTTGCAGAGCAGCATTCTAACATTTTATTCCATTTTTTTTTACAAACATGTGAATTGCTTGCTATGCAGTATGTTTGTTCATTTGATGTTTTTACTGAAGTCACTAGTGTATACCTTTGAAAGTTTTTCATTGGCACCAATTAAAAATTCAAATCCAAGTAAATTGGTAATATGAAGCTTGGCTTTTCTTCTATCTCTGATATTGATAATATTTGAATTCCATCATCAATAGTCTCCTTTGTTTTTTCAGGTTGGATGGTGATGGTTTAGATCTCTTAGCAAAACTACTAAAAGTGAGTGTTTATAAACATAGCTGTATAAACTTTTGTGAGTGTTGAAGACATTTCTTTATTTGTGTAAACTTGTGTGAATCCAGTTTATATAAATGGATGAATCTTCAAGAAGTTGATATTTAATATAAAATCTACAAACTTATTATACCCTGCACAATAAAGTTTGGAGTTTGTTATAATGAAATTGCCCTATCTGACTGGATGTCTATCTGAGAACTACTCCTAAACTGGTGTCTGGAAGTCTGTCTGGATGTCGGTCTGAGAACTACTCCTAAACTGGTGTCTGGATGTCTGTCTGGATGTCGGTCTGAGAACTACTCCTAAACTGGTGTCTGGATGTCTGTCTGGATGTCGGTCTGAGAACTACTCCTAAACTGGTGTCTGGATGTCTGTCTGGATGTCGGTCTGAGAACTACTCCTAAACTGGTGTCTGGATGTCTGTCTGGATGTCGGTCTGAGAACTACTCCTAAACTGGTGTCTGGATGTCTGTCTGGATGTCGGTCTGAGAACTACTCCTAAACTGGTGTCTGGATGTCTGTCTGGATGTCGGTCTGAGAACTACTCCTAAACTGGTGTCTGGATGTCTGTCTGGATGTCGGTCTGAGAACTACTCCTAAACTGGTGTCTGGATGTCTGTCTGGATGTCGGTCTGAGAACTACTCCTAAACTGGTGTCTGGATGTCTGTCTGGATGTCGGTCTGAGAACTACTCCTAAACTGGTGTCTGGATGTCTGTCTGGATGTCGGTCTGAGAACTACTCCTAAACTGGTATCTGGATGTCTGTCTGGATGTCGGTCTGAGAACTACTCCTTAGCTGGTGTCTGGATGTCTGTCTGGATGTCGGTCTGAGAACTACTCCAAAACTAGTGAACCAGTTCCAATGATAGTTCATGTAAAGGACCATCTTTATGGGCAACAAGAGATAAATACATTCATGATGTAAGAACTGACCAATGGGTGTGGCTCAACCTCTCTAGCCTTAATTTCTGAGTTATACCTTTGAAACGGTTGAGATCTCTACCCCCTGAACCATATATAGCAATGATGGGCATCAAGAGATAAACACATCGTTGATGTAAGAATTGACCTCTAGGAACATAATTTTCATATTTTTGACAAAGTTAAGATACCAACCTCGTAACCCTCTCTTACTAGGTATCAAAAGAGAGAAACACTCATGAATTTACCCATTGGACTTGCCCTACCAATGAAGTGACTTAGCCATAATTTGGAAATATTTGAAATACCCAACCTATAGGCATGTATACCATTGCTAAGCTTTAAGATTCAGATGAGTGATACGGGGCCTATGGGTCTCCTGTTAAAAATCTGCATGCTTATACTGATTTTTTTATCTTAAAGTTTGAGGCTAAGGGAAGATGTTGTGCAGCAGATGGAACAAAATGTCCTTTCTTCAACTCCCTCGGGCCAAGTGTTCATCGTCTACCTGACAGTAAGTTTCCATAGCCTACTCAATAGTAAAACTATATTTATAGCTATGTTTGTGCTTTGTATCATTCACAACTGAGCCTCTCTCTTTCGCATCAAATTGTGACCTTAATGTTCTCTGTAGATTGAATTGGATTTAAGCTTTTGTTAAACTTTATGTTCAAATCATTATCAACTACATTTTGTATGTCTGTCTATACATTTATCTACTACAGTTTCTGTACTTAATTATGACTTCTTTTTCTACAGCTGTATCAATATTTACAATACCTGGGATAGTTTTACACAGAGATCCAGGCATGAGATCATCATCATTAGCATCTACAGGTAAGTCTTGTTCTGACTTAAACTTGAAAAGTTACATTGTTACAATTGAAGATTGCATATTTTATGAAGGTCAACAATTTTACAAAGGTCGTTAAATGCAAGTCACTGATATTTTATGAAGGTCATTATATTAAGGCTACCAATATTTAGGACATTTATGAAGGACACCTTTGATTGTGCTGTAACTGGGTTACTTTAAATGTGTTTCAAGGCTGCATATTTTGTTACAGGTAAAATCCGAAGACAGAGTATGCTGTTCTAAGTGTTGTGATAGGACTAGTGACCAGCATCAACCTGCAGACAACTATCCCATATACTGATAACTAGTGAAAGCCATCAAGCTATGGACAACCAAGCCCTTTTATGGACCAGATTTACCTACAGAAGTGATGGCTGTCAGTTTTCGGACATTTACCTTCAGACAAGTGGTAGTTGTCAGTTTTCGGACATTTACCTCCAGACAAGTGGTAGTTGTCAGTTTTCAGACATTTACCTACAGACAAGTGGTAGTTGTCAGTTTTCTACAGGCCAGTAGTGACTCAGTTTTTGACATTTACCTACAGAAAGAAGTTGGCTGTCAGTTTTCTGACATTTTCCTACAGACAAGTGGTAGCTGTTAGTGCACTGTTCGTCAGTTAACATTCTCTGCATACTGCGGTCTATTATACAAACACATATCTGAAATCTTAACCAGATTTATCCACAACTCATATGGCCAGAATAATTTTTTGTTAACTTATCATGGACAGAAAAAAAGTGGTTTGGAATTAGCTATAATGCTCTGTGGCATTCATTACGGTTTTCAAGAAGTATGGCTTCAGATATCTCCAAACATCTGATGTGTTTGACTGGTGCCACCCAGTTTTACATACCTAAATTGTTGTCTTATGTGTCTGGACCATGTGTGTAATCAGGTATATGGCCCTATACGTGTACACAATATAGGTCCTGCACATGTATACACTATATGGTCCTGTCTGCACATGTATACACTAGGCCTTATTGAGGCTAGTCCTATCATTTGTATTGTGCATTTGTGTGCTTCATGTATAGATTGACGTCCTGTTTACCACAAAGCATTTAATTTGTAACGCCTGTGTGAGGAGATTATCTCATCTATGATTGTATAAGATTGTATTGTAGACCAATTGTGGGCTTAATCAACAAACACTGACCAAATGGTGCTATACATAGTCAGGCTGCCATTGGACACAGTAGATAGCTGTACCCAAACATTATACCCATCTGTATATATCACTATGCACCTCACGTCTTCTGTTGCTTGTGTGGGACTGTTGTACTGCACAACTTAGAGAAGGAATAGTAATGCAGCTACTGTATTGCACATCCTAATTAAACGGGCAGTAGTGGAGCTACTGTACTGCACATTGTAAGGGGAGGGAACTCTAATTACTGTATTGCACATTTTAATGGGAGGGAACATTAATGAATCTACTGTACTGCACATTGTAAGGGGAGGGAACAGTTATGGAACTACTGTATTGCACATTTTAATGGGAGGGAACATTAATGAATCTACTGTACTTGACATTGTAAGGGGAGGGAACAGTTATGGAACTACTGTATTGCACATTTTAATGGAAAGGAACAGTTATGGAGCTACTGTACTGTACATTCCTATGGGAGAGAACAGTAATGAAGCTACTGTGCTTCACAATGTAAGGGGACAGAACTCAAACTAATGTATTGCACATTCTAATGGGAGGGAACAGTTATGGATCTACTGTACAGCACATTCTAATGGGAGGGAACAGTTATGGAGCTACTGTATTGCACATTCTAATGGGAGGGAACAGTTATGGATCTACTGTACAGCACATTCTAATGGGAGGGAACAGTTATGGAGCTTCTGTAAGGCACATTGTAATAGGAGGGAACAGTTATGGAGCTACTGTATTGCACATTCTAATGGGAGGGAACAGTTATGGAACTACTGTATTGCACATTCTAATGGGAGGGAACAGTTATGGAACTACTGTATTGCACATTCTAATGGGAGGAAATAGGTATGGAACTACTGTATTGCACTTTCTAATGGGAGGGAACAGTTATGGAGCTACTGTACTTCACATTGTAATGGAAGGGAAGTTATTTAGCTACTGTATGGCACATTGTAGTGCACTGCACATTCTTATGGGTGGGAACAGTAATGGAACTACTGTACTGCTCTGCACTTTCTAATGGAAAGGAATAGTAATGGAGCTGCAGCACATTGTAATGGGAGGGAGCAGTGATGGCGCTTCTGTACTGCACATTGTAATGGGAGGGAGCAGTGATGGCGCTACTGTACTGCACATTGTAATGGGAGGGAGCAGTGATGACGCTACTGTACTGCACATTCTAATGGGAGGGAGCAGTGATGGAGCTACTGTACTGCACATTCTTATGAGAGGGGACACAGTAATAAGGCCATACATTCTAAATGCAGACAATTTTGAGACAAATATCTTGCATATCCAAATAGAAAAAAACAGTAATGGAGTTATCAAACTGTGTTTGGGAAAGCAGTAGGGTAAAATTAATGTTATGTACTCAACAGATGACAGAGGACAGATATAGACCAGTGTAAGTTTACAATGCTGAGGTCCAGTTTGACATTATATGGCCTATACTCCTACTCTGTGGTTCATTTTTGTTCTCACATCTATATTGTGAATATGATACAGATGTACAGTATGTAGTTGTTCTGCTATGCACGGTGGCCATGTATTGAATCTACCATTGTTTGTTTACTTTATATCTAACAGTCTGATGCTATTGATTGTTGTCCATTTGTTCATGAGAGCTGTGAACATCTTACAGTATTGAGTATCAAAAATATAATAGGGTGTTGTAATAGTTCAAGATTTTACAGAAATCTAAAGCAGGCTTTTCTCTATTCCTGTACGGGCAAGTGTTTTCTCAATTCCTACCTTATTTTGTGTATAATTTGTATTTTTAAGATTCATGTTAAACTTTTTAACACCGGGGTTTATCGTGGTCTGAAAACTCCATTCTGATTGTAGTAAATGATGTGATTTATGTTCAGGTTAATGACTATTTCACTTTCTTTTTGCATTTCATTGTACTTTGTTTTTATTGTTTATTTTTAGCTTTATTCCCCAGATATAAATTGGGTCAGCAATACCAAGGTTTTATCTGTATTTCCTGTACATTTTCTGTGTATAAAGCTGATACTGTTTCATTACTGATGCATTAATACTTCTGTATTGCTAATGTTTTCATTTAACACATTTTCTCATCAATCACTATAACAATATTGTATCCCAAGTCTTTGATAGATGCAGTCTTAAAAATTATCTCCCCTTGGTCAGCTCTTCAATAGCAAGAATGATGAATAATGGTATCGAGAAGGATAATATTCTCTCAGCTTCAAATCAAGAATTATCTTTCTTTAGTCATTAACTTAACTGCATAGCCTATGTTATTTCTCCTGATGAATTTATGAGATATAGTTCCCCCAAACAAAACTCAAGTGTTGATCATGAGCAGCAGTTCTAAGGACCAAGATTATCTCAGGATGCCTGTCACATGTTTAAAGTATGTGTCATGATCACATTTCATATCACCATACATACTGCAAGATATCATTAATTAGGTGTAGTGATTCACATGATATTTTAAATACTTGATACGAGATGTACATTTGTGCCAATGGTGAATATGATATAATGCATGTTTTGTAGTGTGAATGTAGTCTTATTTTGTACATTTACTTTGTATTAGAAGTGCTATTGTATCATCATGTGTAATATGAGGAATCTCATTTGCTAAAAGAGACACCTCATGAATTTGTCTCAACAACTATCTACTAAGCTTGGCTCGTAGGTATCTGCTATTGGTAACAATTATGTTTACAGTTTTAGAATAGGGCAAAGTGGAGACCTACAGAAAGTGTGATCAGTGGCTAAGGGCAAATCTAATGTGTCATTGAGACGGTTCCAGTCAAGGGCAAGTCTGGCAATGTGTCATTGAGATGGTCCCAGCCAAGGGCCAGTCTGACAATGTGTCATTGAGACGGTCCCAGCCAAGGGCAAGTCTGACAATGTATTATTGAGACAGTCCAAGCCAAGGGCCAGTCTGACAATGTGTCATTGAGATAGCCCCAGCAAAGGGCTAGTCTGACAATGTGTCATTGAAATAGCCCCAGCCAGGGGTCAGTCTGATGAGAAAAAAATTCATTGTGATTGTCCTAGAAAGGACCAGTCTGTAAAGAGAATAGATTTTCTGTAACTCTGGATAGGTAAATCCATGCTTTTTACCAGTGTGAGATTTTATTGTCTCACCCTAGGACAATGATATGATGTCACAGTAACAATTCATTGATGTCACATCACAATGAAATGACGTCAGTGATGCAAAATATTGGGACAACAAAAACACATACAAGTATCTAATCAAGCCAGTAGGTAAGATAAAAACAATCCCCATGTTGGTGAGATAGGTGGATCTCAACCCTCTGGAAAAGATGTGTAAGTTGCCTAATGTTTGCTAACTTATTCATGTTTCCCTTGGGGTTGAGATCCATCTTTTTCACCTTCACGGGGTGAAAGATTCTATTAATCCTCTCACTGTGATCTCCCAGCTCTGTCTATTGTCCAGAAATTGCCACACTCTTATTTGCAGTTTATGACAGGAAGTCATTTGCTACAGACTGATGTAGATGTGACTTAATTGGATTTGTATTACATAGAGTTAAGATTATCAATTATAGCTTTAGTGCATGATATTTATGTTACCTATTTATTTATGTTGCTATATGCTCTAATTTATTAAGAGATCTCCCAAATTGAATCATAACTGATCACAATAAAACTTTTTACAATCTAGCACTGAATTACACAGCAGGAATTTGTGTAGTATATAAGAAAAGTTCTTGGATGAGGGGGTCAAGAAGCGAAATATGCTCAAAAATGTCAGGATTAGATAAAACAGGGGAAAAAAACAGTAAACTTAACAAAATCAACAAAGTTTACACCTTCAAGCAATCAAAAACATAACTTTAGAGATTTATATTAGTTAACAAATTTTTGAAGTCCTGTACATTCTATTATTTTAAAAGGGTGCAAGATAGGTGTTAAAAAAGTCATGCCAAGTGTATCTGCAATACTCTAGGGGTTAGGCTTACTATCACTCTCTGTACCAATGGAACACATCATGGCAAAATTGAAGGTTCCAGGTGCAACACCTTGTGGATAAGTCTAGGTGACTAGTTTGATCCTTTGATATATAACAAACAAACTACAAGTTACACAACAGTATGTTGTACTGGCCTGGAAGTTTGGTGTCACTCCTTTGTAGTATGTTGTACTGGCCTGGAAGTTTGGTGTTGCTCCTTTGATAAACAACAAACAAACTACAGGTTGCACAACAGTATGTTGTACTGGCCTGGAAGTTTGGTGTCACTCCTTTGTAGTATGTTGTACTGGCCTGGAAGTTTGGTGTCACTCCTTTGTAGTATGTTGTACTGGCCTGGAAGTTTGGTGTCACTCCTTAAATAAACAACAAACAAACTACAGGTTGCACAACAGTATGTTGTACTGGCCTGGAAGTTTGGTGTCACTCCTTAAATAAACAACAAACAAACTACAGGTTGCACAACAGTACGTTGTACTGGCCTGGAAGTTTGGTGTCGCTCCTTTGTAATCTTCAGAGGAGTATATCAGTTTGTGATTGGTCAGTTTTTTTTCCTGCTGAAACCTGCTCTAGACCAATCAAATTACATCACTTATGCGGTCAGTTTTCTTTGAAATGTTTCAGAGAGTGATAGTGAGCTTAATCCCAGGAATATCAAGGATATGTCAAATGTATGTCATGAATATGGTGTAAAGGACAAGAATATAACAACTTTTTACAGATTTGTATTTAATTAAAATGACACAAATGTAATGATGTTTATATCTCACATAATGGCAAAGTAGTATTGCATAGTTATTAACAGTTATCCTATCATAAGGAGACTAATGAAATATTGCTGATCAGTACATTATTTATCAATAGGAGCAAATATACTGTAGTGTATGAGAGTAACCAGCTGCTCTGCATGATGCACAAGATGTATGTCACCTTTGTATCAGTTTTTAATCTAGCTGCATAATTGTTTTGTTCGGTTTTGAAATTTTCCATGGTTTTCTAGCTCACCAGGTCTGAAGGCCCAGTGAACTCATGCCAAGGCGCAGCGTTCAGCATCCGTCCGTTGTCAAGCATCCAGCAACTTTTTGATAAAAATTACTACTTATCATGAATGACTGCACAGGTATTTAAACAAATTTGGTCAAAAGCATTATTGGGGAAGAGGAGCCAAGTTTGTATAAATATTGGTTTTCTGCCCCCAGGGGCCAGAGGAGAGAGACCCCATAGGGGAATTTTTGTTATTTGAATTTCTACTCCTCCAGTTGGTATGAATGGATATTTCCTAAATTTGGTCTGAAGCAATCTTGGGTGACGGGAAATCAATCTTGTATAGATATAAGGTCTTGGTGCCCAGGGGGCAAATAGAGTAAATTCTTTAAAATCCTACTCCTGTAGGAATGACTGGATATTGCCCAAATTTGTTCTGAAATGTTGCATCCTGGTCCCCTACTGCAAAAAGAGGTGGGTCCAGTTGGGAAAATGTAAGTTATTGAAAACCCCTGTGCATACAAAGGTATTGTCAAAGTTTGGTCTGAAGCAGTTTTTTATGAATAGTGAATCTGACCTCTGTTTGACCACAAGGGCAGGACCCAGTAGGGAAACTATATCAGAAATCATTTGTCATATTTGAAATTCCTTATCCAATGATTGAATAGCTAAGTTAGCCTGGTGAGCGATACAGACTCCTTGGGCCTCTTGTTTTTACTTGGATCAAAATGGAACATTTAAGATATGTTAACAAGCCCTGGAAGTAAGTCTGAAGGTCATACATGTAAAGTATTAAAAAAGTAATTCTGTTATATCAATGTGTAAAATGTAATTGAACTATGCTTTCTAATACTGTGTAAGGATGATTGATATTCTCAAACTAACTTTGCTCACTTTTGTTTTTAAAAAAGTTAGTGTCAGTCACTCGAGTAGTACTGCCACTAACTGCTTTCCTAGCTATCTATTTTAAAGAAATCAAATCACAATCCTGGATCATTTTGCAGTGTTTGCCATATTTTATCAGGTGTAAGTTTTAGCTTTATGCAAGTTTACACTTGATTATGTGATATATACACTTGTTGATGGTGAGGTGTTTGGTGAAGTGACTTTATGATAATGGAGTATGTGGTATTCACACTTTGATCTTGTGGTATTCATTCATGTGATCTTTACATTCGATTTTGATCATGTTTTCGTATTTACATTTGGTTGTTAGTATCCAGAATATGATATTGAGTGGTCTATCTACTCTCCATCAGGATCTTTTCTCTGATATGTGACCATGAAGATATCACCGAACTTTAAACAGCTAATCTGTCTGTTGTTCCTTAGTTCTATCAGGAAATCTGATTTCCTTTGTGGTTAGGGAAGTTTAGAACAAATCCCTGATGATGTAAGTGACATATAGAGTATGTCCTTGGTGGTTAGGGATGTTTGGTATACATCCCTGATGATGTAAGTGACATATAGAGTATGTCCTTGGTGGTTAGGGATGTTTGGTACACATCCCTGATGATGTAAGTGACATATAGAGTATGTCCTTGGTGGTTAGGGATGTTTGGTACACATCCCTGATGATGTAAGAGACATGTAGTGTATGTCCTTGGTGGTTAGAGATGTTTGGTACACATCCCTGATGATGTAAGAGACATATAGAGTATGTCCTTGGTTAGGGATGTTTGGTACACATCCCTGATGATGTAAGTGACATATAGAGTATGTCCTTGGTGGTTAGGGATGTTTGGTACACATCCCTGATGATGTAAGAGACATATAGAGTATGTCCTTGGTGGTTAGGGATGTTTGGTACACATCCCTGATGATGTAAGTGACATATAGAGTATGTCCTTGGTTAGGGATGTTTGGTATACATCCCTGATGATGTAAGAGACATATAGAGTATGTCCTTGGTTAGGGATGTTTGGTACACATCCCTGATGATGTAAGAGACATATAGAGTATGTCCTTGGTGGTTAGAGATGTTTGTACAGTCTAAATCCTTGGTGATTTTTGTCCAGTGGCTCATGTTCCCAGGTTAATGTTTCACATGCTGTTTCCTTAGGAACTTTTCCCCAGTAAAACTGTTGTGTTCCCTAAGTAACGTTTTGCCAGTTAAGCTGTTTCCTTCTTATTATATCACTATTAAGCTAAAATTCATTTGTATTAATTATGGCCATGTGAATCAATCAAATGCTCTTTTTAAGTATATACACGTACATTCTATAATCATGTGAGCTTTCAGTTATGTAGGTGTATGTACACATGAATAACAAACAGCCATTGTGACGGTTATGGTTATGTCCTGTCTTCACCTTTCTATTTGTATAGGACACATGTTAAAATGAGTTACTGGGTAACTTTTCAGTCTGGCACATGTTACTGTGGGTTATTGAGTAACCCTTTACAAGTTGGTACATGTTACTAAGGGTTATTTGGTAACCTTTTAAAAACTGGTGCATGTTACTAAGTAACATTTTATAAATTGGTACATATTACCAAGAGTTATTGAGTAATGTTTTACAAATCTGTACATGTTACTATGGGTTGTTGAGCTACCTTTTGAAAATTTGTACATGTAAAGGAACATCAAACAACAACTACAGAATGGTACATGTTACTTTAAGTAAACTTTCAACCTGGTACGTGATTCTACGGTTTTTTGAATAATCTATAAAACATTGGAATATATTTCCTTGATTTTTTAATAACATGTAACTGACTGATACATACAAATAGCACATACTGGTACATCTTGTGTACCCTTGTGCCTGGTACATATATTTTTTTTGACCATGAGAGAAAGAGGGCTATTGTGAGGTATGTGTGGAATGCCTGTACATCACACATTGTAGCGCCATCTAGAGGATGGCTGACATGTAAAAATATTAAAGATATGTAAAATAATTGTTGAAGTTTTATGTTGTGATATATTGTGATATTACCAGTTTACAGCAGGTAGGTTAGTGTATGGTCCATCCAGCACTCAATATCAGCCTAAACACAATGTTTCACAGAGTTTACTGTTGTGATTATACACAACTTGAATGACTACCTAAATAGTACCGATGTATGACTAGGAAACCACTTTACAAAGGGGTCAAAATAAATGTAACAGTGACCTACTTCAGACATGAACAGCAGACACTGAACAGAGATATAAACCAAATTTCTGAGGATTCTTTCCAGTTGACTACAAGATTATGGGTTGATTTCGTTGAAAAAAAAAAAACAACATACACATGCACAACATGCAGGGGATCTTCGATATGAAGACTTTACAGGTTTAGTTTGAAGTATTCCATCGATCCTGGGCAAACTTCACATCCAACAAACCTTAAAATCAATACTCAAATAATTTGAAGTTTTCCCATGGTCGTTCTGACTTTGAAATAACGAGGTTGGACTTTATATGGTAGTGTGAAAATCTATTTGATTTTTGTATATGGTTAACTTCTTCATTTTCCTCTGTCTATCAAAATAGTATCGCAATATTTAAGTGACCCATTATATACTAAGGGAAGAAAGAAAAACAACTTCAACATTACAGAAAGTTTGTGACAAAATAAAAAATATAGAATGTAGAAAGGATAATATTTCTACCATAAAAACAACAAGACAATTCAGAGTAACATGTCAAGAAGGCGAAGATGATGGCTTTATACAGGAACTGATTCCAGACATTTGCCTGTCCCAGTGTATTCAGTAATAGTGTTGGTATTACTACGCTTGATATATGCTGCCAAGTGGTTCCATTTTACTCTTTAACTGAGTAACACAACTTAAACATATTTCACAGCGTTTCATCATTTGGTGATTTGATTAAAGAATTATAAATGTGAATCAGTTCAGTAATATATATCTTCTTTGGCAAACAAGTATGACTTCCTGTCAAAAGTTAAACAAACCCATGCCAAAAATTTTAAGAAGTTCCACTGACTACTGATTAGCCGTGTAGGAAATGGTGCCATGATAATTTCATTTTTTCTTTAATGTAGGTAAAAGTGACCTTTTTTTGGTACATGACACACTGCCTTGCCAGGTTGACCCATGTCCAAAGTATAAGATTCCAGAAACTAGCAGTTGGAGATCCATTTTGACAAATTTTTTTTGGTGTAGGCCAAAGACCAAAATGAAGGTCAGAGTGACCTACTTTTAATGCAAGACACATAGGTGAACTCATACCTTCAGTCTGAACTTCCAGAAACAATCAGTGTACGAGATACTACCCAAACAAGGTAAAGTCCAGAAAGATAGAGGAACAGGCAGAAGGAATGAAGAACACAACATAGTAGCCCCACCCCTATCACTATTCCCCCTTCGGGACTAATAATGGATTTAACATTTGCGTCATAAATATTGACCTGCAATCATGATCACACATTTCCAGGGGAAAAAAGTACATTTAAGGCACATCTTTTTATGAACCTATGGGTATGCGTTAAATATACATAGAAAAAGATGGAGGGAGTACATAGGTTCAACAGAGGTACATTTAAGGTACCTGTTGGGGGATGCATTTTACTATTGAACATGAAATGTACCTCAAAAGTACTGAAAAGGTGTCTCCATGATCCCATGTCAAGGTATACCTCAAATGTGCCTCAAATGTGCTCCTGTTAAAGCATACCTAAAAAGTACCTCAAATATGACTAATACATACCCCAAACATACCTAAAATGTGCCTCCTTGCTCTCCTGGTGAGACATGCCTAACAAGCGGCCCATGGGCCTGAACAGTCATCTTGCTATAAAGACATAAATAATATATTATGAAAGAGGCCAAATTGAATTGCTTAATATTCTACTGCTTACAAAGGAGATGTCAGTTCTTAAAAAATATTTTCTGTGAACTTTAAATCCTATTCCTTATATTTGCTTCTTCACAAATACCATGACTCCTCACCTAATGTTTGTTGAAAAAGAAGAAATTTCAACTCTTGTAACCCAAGAGACCTTGAAAGTAAATCTAGGTATATCATTTGAGTAAATCTAGTAGCCCTTCATCAAAGTATGTTAACCAATATCAATAGCCTAGGTTTTTGGTTATTGAGAAGAAGTTATTTGATGTCCTTTACATATTTGACCCCTGTGAGATGAAAAGTCGGTCTAGGTTAGTAGTATGAACAGATTTTGTAACCTTTCATTCCAGCATCGTAGTGGCCCAACATCTTGGCTTTTTGATTTTTGAGAAGGTGTATAATCATTTCAACACATCTGATCCCTGCGACCTTCAAAGTTTTATTGATTTCAACATGTACCCCATCCTCCAAGCATGCTACAGAAACAATATCAGTACCTTGGTCCTTTTGGTTTTTGAGAAGAAATTGTTTGAAGATTTTTACTTATTTGACACCTGTGAACTTTGAGATAGGTCAAGGTCCATAATATGAACAAACATTTTAGCCCTTCATACCAGTTTGCTACTGACCCATTTATTAGTACTGTGGGTCTTTTGGTTTTGAGAAGAGGCTGTTTAAACATTCCAACACATCTAACCCCTATAACCTTCAAAGTAAATCAATGTCATTTATTTCAACACACTGGATAGCCATTTACCCGAGCATGCTGCAGGCCCAATATCAGTACCCTGGGCCTTTTAACTTTTGAGAGGAAGCTGTTTAAGGATTTCAACAAATTTGGCCCCTGTGACCTAGAAAGTAGGCCAAGATAATTTATTTTTACAAACGCGGTAGCCCTTCCTCCCAGCATGCTACAGGCCCAATATCAGTACCATGGGTCTTTTCGTTATTGAGAAGGAGTTGTTTGAAAGAAGATTTTGACATATTTGATACCTATGACCTTTGAAATGGGTCAAGACCACCTAGAATTGTTTTAAGGATGGTCGATTAACAACACATATTCCCTAACATCACTGTGTAATTACATTGAAATTAGTCCACAACATTTGGAGCAGTCTTAAAAATATCCGTCGAATCCTGACCATAGCAACGAAATGACATCGGATTTTATTTAATAATATAATTGCAATTGCTTTCCCTCAAAACACTTTTATTTCAGTTTTCACCACAATCGGACAATATTTCAATTTCCACCAATCAGAAGCCTCCGTCATGTTTCCATACTAATGGTTCTGGAAACATTTTATGAGTTAAAGTACATGCATTGATAAGTTACACCACTTGACCAAGTTTCAATAAAATTTATCAAAGTATTGATGAGTTACGGCCATTACAGCTCAGATTACTACTTGACCTTGGTTATTTAGTCTAAAATCACTTCCGTATTGGTCCGCCCTTAGTTTAGCAATCATGGTCTAAAATCCTAGTCATTTGTGAAAGTAGACCGAACAGCATTTCCTCATAAATCGTCGTTTTGATAATGATACTAAACATATGTCAACCATGCCGACTAGAGCTCGACAAGTAAAGATAGATGTACCGGTGGTATTGGAAGTCATGATATAGGAAAAGAAAAAAGGTCTGTTGAAGGTAGATTGGGTGAACTGATTTTATCCACGTTGACTAGAGATGACCATGATGTTCAACAGAATAGCGACATATGTAGAGAAAATAGAGAAATAAGAGATCGTCTGAATGGAAGAAGACATGAACGTGAAACAGACGATGAGGACCTCAGGAAAACAGTAGAGACTATAGGGAGAGACTGCTAGACTGCAGGCAGCCAGAGAAATAAGAGATCGTCTGAATGGAAGAAGACATGAACGTGAAACAGACGATGAGGACCCCAGGAAAACAGTAGAGACTATAGGGAGAGAACAGAGAAATAAGAGAGTAGAGACTATGAAACAGGGAGAGTAAAACAGTAGAGACTATAGGGAGAGACTGTTAGACTGCAGGCAGCTAGAGAAAGTACAGAATTCTAACTGAACGGCCTCGAGCAGCATGGGAAAAAAATTCATTTGGATTATTGGACTCCAACGGACAGGCTACGTATTAATTTGACGAAGAATGACATTAACATTGTTCACAGACTGGGGAAATTCAACAGAGCAAAGTTTGGAACCTAATCGTGAAATTCACTACATGAAATCGTCCATGCTAGAAGGGAGCTCGGTGTCTCCAGCTTCGAAGTTTTCGAGGATATTACTCAAGATAACCAACGGGTCCTCAGAGATACGTTTCCCTTAGAATGTGTCAGAAACACGGTCATCGTAGATGAGAAACCTTTTGTATTCTTGAGAATGAGAAAAAAAACATAGACTTTTATTATCACTCCATTGGATACTGATTATCTGATAAGTGGTGGAAACTTTCGGTCATCTGTCGATTTCGAAGAGACTATTAAGACTCCATCTTCTAGAATTATAAAGTTATGTGTTAGAATGGTGGGTAGAGCCGTTTAAAGACACTCCAGTGTCGCCGACCCTGGTAAATATCTTCTTTTATCTTCAGTGATCTATCGTTTGTGAGATACTTGTCGTGAGTGTGAGTTTTATTGAGAGCATTCCATGGAGTTTAGTAAGGAAGTTTTCTAACCGTGGTGATAGAAATCCTTTTGTATAATTTATTTCCTTTGAGCCTAATACCATACTTGTTATGTGTTGCTCATTAATAGTAGCCTAATCATTCAGGTCTCTCCCATTTTGTTAATTTTTTTTAGGAAAATCCACATATTCGAACAAGCACTTAGTATCTCAACTGAACATTAATCGGAACACCTCGGCCGATTCTCAAGAGGTCATCTAACCTCGGATGTATGACTGACCGGAACATCCCATTTAAATCAGATGAATACCGTACCAGGCCCTTAAAGCCATGAAAAGTACTTCGCCTGGGATTGACAACCTTTTTTACACAATACTCAAAAAACAAAAGTTAACAAGCTAATCATCAATCTGATCAATAAAATCTGGACTTCCGGTTCATATCCTAAGGGATAAGGCTGTAGTACTTCCAATTTTAAAAGACGATGAAAATCCAGCAT